CTACTAACACCTTTCTATCACCAGAGGGCGTGGGTGTCCAACCAACAGCTCCACCTATGTATACGGAGACAACATATGTTGAGTGGCCCTCAACCCCCATAGTTGATAGATGGGATCCTGAGACAGGACCTCAAAGATTAGCATGCCCTGTATTTGAGGAGGCAGGAGGGCAGCGAATTCACCATGCTTTAGATTTCAAAACAGTGAAGCAGCTGAAAGAGGCTGTAACAACCTATGGTCCTCAAGCACCCTTCACTGTAAGTATGGTCGAATCCATTAACAACTTGAACATGATGCCAGCAGATTGGGCTAGTATGTGCAAAGCTGTGCTAAATGGAGGACAATATATTTTATGGAAGGTTGCCAATCAGGAATTTTGCATGGAGACAGCTAGGCGAAATGCAGCAGCCGATTATCCTAAGAGAAATCTAGATATGTTGTTAGGAGAGGGACCTTATGAGGGTCAGCTGCAACAAATTAGATATGATCCTGCCATATACTCACAAGTTGCTTCAACTGCGGTTAGGGCATGGAAAACTTTACAGGGGCATGGAGATTTACAAGGTCAATTATCTAAGGTAATACAAGGAGCTAATGAACCTTACGCTGAATTTGTAGATAGGCTTATACAAACAGCTACCAGAATCTTTCGGGATATAAAACAAGCGATGCCATTAATAAAACAACTAGCCTATGAACAAGCAAATAGATGGTGCAGGGAGGCCATTAGACCATGGAAACATGGAGATTTAAACACATATATTAAATTATGCAGAGACATTAATGAACAAGGGCAAGTCTTGGCAGCTGCAGTACAACAGGCTTTAAGTGCCAGGCCAAAAACATGCTATAATTGTGGACAAACAGGACATTTTAGAAGGAGTTGCTCCATAGGAGGAGGGTTTAACAAAACTGGATAGGATCAAAGGGGTAGAATACCAGGTATTTGCCCACGATGCCATAGAGGGAGACATTGGGCTAATGAATGCCATTCTCAAACCACTATAGAGGGTACTCCGTTATCAAAAAATGGACAAGGACCAGGTGTTTACCCATGATATCATGGAGAAAAACATTGGGCTCCATTGCCAAAAAACGGACAGGGGGGCCCAATGCTCTGGGGCCCATGACCACAAATATATGGGGCATTGGAGGAGCCCAGCAACACCATCAGGGTAGTGCCCAGGACACATTATCCATTAGATCCCTCATTAGACAAACTAGAGGGAGCACAGGGTTGGACATCTGCGCCTCCACCAGAGCAGTACTAACTCCAGAGATGGGAGTTCAAATCATTCCCACAGGGGTAAAAGGATCTCTTCCCCAAGGAACAGTAGGCTTATTATTAGGACACAGTTCTTGTACTCTAAAAGGACTTATGATAAGTCCTGGGGTAATTGATCCCAATTATGAAGGTGAAATAAAAATTATAGCCAGTTCTCCAAGGGGTATATCAGTAATTTCACCAGGAGATAGAATAGCACAGTTACTAATAATACCCAGCCTACATGATAAATTTTCTAATCGTACTATAGAAAGAGGTTCCAGGGGATTATGCTCCACAAGTGTAGATTGGGCTATGCTTTCTTTAAATTTAGATTCTTGCCCCATGCTAAAACTAAATACTCAAGGACATGAATTTAATCGGCTACTGGATACAGGTGCAGAACTTAGCATTATCTCTCGTCAAGAATGGCCAAAACACTGGCAGTTACACCAAGCCACTCAAACGCTTCAAGGCCTAGGAGTGGCAACTAATCCCCATAGAAGTGTGATGGTATTAGATTGGAAGGATCCTGAAGGATGTGAAGGAACTATACAGCCATATATATTGGATCATCTTCCTATAAATTTATGGGGAAGAGATGTCCTAGATCAATTAGGACTAACATTAACAAATAACCTCAATTCAAATGCACCCACTATTATGGCTAGACAAGGTTTTAGGAAAGGACAAAGTATAGTGGCACCAATACAAATAGATCAAGAAATAGATAGACATGGATTGGGTTTTCAGGAGGGGTCACTGAGACAATAAAAATTACTTGGAAATCAGGAAGACCTGTATGGGTTCCTCAGTGGCCCCTGACTAAAGAAAAGATACAAGCAGTCCATGACCTGGTCAAACAACAATTAGCGGAGGGACATATACAACCTTCTGTATCTCCCCATAATACTCCCATTTTTGTCATCAAAAAGAAATCTGGTAAATGGAGATTATTGCAAGATTTAAGAGCTATTAATAATGAGATGGTTATTATGGGACCTGCTCAATCGGCGATTCCTCAATTATCTGCTTTGCCAAAAACCTGGTATGTTTTAGTTATAGATATTAAAGATTGTTTTTTTTCAATTCTAATTCATCCTGAGGATAGTCCACGTTTTGCATTTACTGTCCCTGCGTTGAATCATGAAGGTCCTGATCAGAGATATGAATGGAAAGTACTCCCTCAAGGGATGGCTAACAGCCCAACTATGTGTCAAATTTATGTTAACAAAGCAATCCAGCCACTTAGAAATCAAAATCCTGAACTACAAATATTTCACTATGTGGACAATGTATTATTAGCACACAAAGATAAAAACACATTGTTAAAATGTTATACCACACTTACAAACTTATTAAAAAATTATAATCTAGAGATAGCAATAGATAAAGTACAATTAAATTTTCCAATTAATTATTTAAGACTTCTATTATCCTCGACCATGGTCTGTCCACCAAAAATTAAAATACAAGTAGATCAACTCAAATCACTTAATGACTTTCAAAAGTTATTAGGAGACATAAATTGGATAAGGCCTTATCTAGGCATACCAACAGGAGAGTTGGGACCTTTATTTGATATCCTAAAAGGTCCATCAGATCCAAATTCACCCTGCATGTTAATGCCTGAAGCAATAAAGACATCAAAAATCATTGAAACATATATGGAAAATATGCATTTGGATAGAATTGATATAAGTTTGCCTTTATTATTTATTGTACTACCAACAAAAAAATTCCTACAGGAGTATTTTGGCAAGAAGGTCCATTATTATGGATACATTTATCTTATTCTCCTAACACTATTCTTACTAGGTATCCTGAGGCTGTAGGACAATTAATACTCAAAGGAATAAAAGCAGCAAAGGGAGTGTTTGGAATTTCTCCCATTAAAATTATTACTCCATATACTATGGATCAAATTGATGAGTTAGCTAATGAGTTAAATACTTGGGCAATAATCATGTGCAAATCTAATGTTTCATTTGATAACCACTTACCATCTAATCCTTTGTTGTCTTTTTGGTCTTTGCATCCTGTAGTTTTTCCAAAAATGACAAGAAAAACACCTATCATGAATGCTCCAAATATATTCACTGATGGGTCAAATAATGGTACAGCAGCAGTAGTTACCCCTGATCAAACTTTTACATTTTTAGTACCCAAACAATCAGCTCAAAAGGTAGAGCTTAATGCAGTTTTACAAGCTTTTGTGATGTTTAAAGATTCTGTATTTAATTTATTTTCCGATAGTCAGCATATAGTTAATGAAATTTTCTTAGAATAATTTCATATGAATTTGGAAGAGGCAGTGTGGTATATGTGTGTATGTGTAAATACATGAGCTTTTTAAATTTTTAAAATTTATTTTTAGGTATAGTTGGACACAGTACCTTTGTTTGATTTACTTATTTTTATGTGGTGCTGAGGATCGAACCCAGGGCCTCACACGTGCTAGGCAAGTGCTCTACTGCTGAGCCACAACCCCAGCCCCAATACATGATCTTTTTAAATGATACCTCTCATGCTTGAGTCCTGTCAAAGACATCTTCTGTGTGTGTGGTGCTGGGATGGACTCCATGGCCTTCACATGCCAGGCAAGTGCTCTGCCACTGAGCTGCACACCCAGTCTCTAAAGATACCATAATAAGTGGAAATTAATTAAAATCATTTGATTATGAGCATTTCCAAATAAGACAATTCTCTCAAACAAGATAATTCTCTAAATCAAAGACAAGGTAAGCTAAAAGTAATTTTTAAAATATTCCTATAAAAAATAGAAGTTCACAGAATTAAAAATTCTATAGAGGGCTAGAGTTGTGGTGCAAAGGCAGAGCATTTGCCTGGCAGGTGTTAGGCCCTGGGTTCAATCCTCAGCACCACATATAAATAAACAAAATAAATAAATAAAATAAAAAGATCCACTGACAACTAAAAACATATTTTTAAAAATTCTGTAGAAAACTGAAAGAATATTTATTAAAAATTAAATAGGTAAAACCTACTGCACAGAACTGGAGACCTGGAGGCCATGGGGAATTACATTGCAAAATAACTCTAAAGTAAGAAAACTAAATGAATCGATTAGCATAGAAAAGCTTGGACTGGATTTCTCCCACTGGATTGGATCCTAGGATCATAAGGGCTCAAGGCTGACTGTCATTTGCCCTTTAACAAATTCTGATTTTATTTCTTTTTCTTTTTTTTTTTTTTGTAAGATAAATTTATTATTTTTTCTGACCAAAGTGCAATGATTTTTAAAATCTTTTAAAACAAGTAACTATGAAAAAAGTATTTCAGAAAATAAAATGCAAATGGGAACTTTAATCATTAGGTTGTTTTACAATTTATCTTATCCCTATATTTAGTCTCAAAAAAACAAAAAAAGACTTGGAAGCATTGCTAAAATGAGAACTGAATCATTTTAGTATAAATCTAGCACATGCATTTCAAGGTTCCACTGCTAGGAATTGTGTTAAGATCAGTTTACTAAATGAATAGCACTATACAATTGAGCATAAGGAACACAAGAAATTAGATGTGATCCTTGCTCCATATCCTCAGATTATGTCAGAATAAAACTGACAATTCCTCCAGGCTCTGAACCCCTCGTGCCTCCAACCCAAACCCTGGAAGCTCTGACATACAACTTTGTGCAAGTTGAAGTAAATCAAAGCCTAAGTTTTCCCATCTTACTATAGGAAATGGTCAGTTATTTCATAAATACTAAAACACTGTTTGAATCCATTTTATGAGTTTGTTTACCAAACACCTCGCACAAGAACTGACTACACAAAATAATTCCTTTGAAATTTGGTCCACAAATTCAATTAAGAGGTTAGAAATTTAAAACCTGCAAGAAAAGAAGTGGGAATCCCTAATTCTAACATGTTGTAATTACTAAAGGGATGTACATGCATACTAAAAAATTTTGCTCACAGAAGGCACAAACTATAAAAAGGACAGTCGTTAATAAAATCAAAGAACTAGCTGATACCCTTCTTTGTTTTGTGAGCACCATAATAACTAAGAAGTAATTAAACCTGAATTCACTGTCTACTCCTGTGACCAAAAACAAATCAAAAAGAAAAAAACACCATAAAAATTTACTTTGTCTTGTCTTACTATGTATTTTCTAGTCATTAATTGAGATGTAATTTTGAAGATTAAAATTGCCTTTAAAAGGGGTTGTAATAGCAGCTATCAAAGCAATATTCAAGCATGATTTCAAGGATGCTTTCAGGTTTAGAGTTAGCCTTCTTTGTCAAAAATCTTCACAACTTCATCAAAAACTTCATCAACAGACTTAGAAGCGTCTATTTTCTTGACTTTCCCCATTTCTTCATATAAGTCAATAATTTGCTTTGTTGACTGAAGGTAAGTCTGAATTCTCTTTTCCAAGCTCTCTCTGTTGTCATCACTCCTACCACTACTCTTTCCCCTCTCAAGACATCGTTCGATACAGATCTCATTATTACAGTCAAAAAAACAGAACAAAAGATACTTCTGCCTTCCCATCCATGGTCTTGTTCCAACCTTGAAGATTGTCTTGATTTCTTGGAAATCCATCAATCAAGAACTTATTCTTCTCAGCATTGGCAGCCATTGTTTGATCCATTTCCCTCTTTAATAAACTGATGGTTATCTCAACTGGCACAATCTTTCCATCTTTAATGTACTTTTCAATGAGTTCACCATACTGTGAATCTGGGTTCTTCCTTTCATCACGAAGAAGTTCTCCTGCAGAGAGGTGTGTGTAGCCATATTTCTCGACGATGCGGGCGCACTGGGTCCCCTTGCCGGCGCCGGGACCGCCGAGGACGAACACGACCAGAAGCTTCATGAGGCTGCGAGGGCAGAGAAGTGGCAGGCGGGTCAGCAGCGGGGAGCTTGGGCCCAGGACGTGCAGCAACCGGACGCAGCAGCGCCTCAGCATACACCGAGCGCGGCGCGGGCGGGGCGGAACGAGGCGGGGCGGAAGCCGGTGGAGAAAGGGGCGGGCCGAGTGGGCGCCGCGGCCCCGCCGGGGTAGCTGCCCCTGATTTTATTTCAAATGTTCATGATCTATAGAGAAAAAAAGAGAGAGAAAGGTGACTTTTCTAAATTTATTTTATGGTATATCGCATTCTGATATAGTCAAGATAATTCATCCAATGCAGGATGTCAGTGTTTATACAATAGACATTATTTGTGCACCATTACAAATATACTGCCAATTAGCACAGCAGCCAGGGAGCTGCTCATCCTAGACTAGCAGGGGCAGAGTCTTCCAGAGGGCCTGGAAGATGGGTGGGGTCTGGAGAAGAGGCAGGGTCTTAAAGAGGAGGAGGGTTGGGCTGGGGTTATGGCTCAGTTGTAAAGTGCTTGCCTAGCATGTGTGAGGCACTTGGTTCAAACCTCAGCACCACATAAAAATAAATAAGCAAAATAAAGGCATTGTGTCCATGTGCAACAAAAATAAAAATTAAAAAAAAGAGGAGGAGGGTGAGGTCTGGAGGGAGGGCAGGACAGGAAGAAGGGAAAGGTCTGCAGAAGAGGCAGGGTCTGAAAGAGTGGGGAATGGGTTACAAGGGGGCAGGGCCTGGAAGGTGAGTGGGACCTGAGGGAAGAGCAGGCTCTGGAACTTGAGTAGGGCCTAGAGGAGAGGCAGGGTATGAAGGAGGGGAAAGGGTGGTTCAGGAGGATGTGTGGGGCCATAGAATGTGGGTGGGGTCTGGAGGAGAGGCAGGGTCTGGAGGGGGAGGCCTTGTGGGCAGGGGTCCTTGAGGGGTGGCTTCTTGCTAATTAAACTCTCCACCAAAAGAAAAATGTGTGGCTGTGGTAGCTCAGTGGTAGAGTGCTTGCCTAGCATGTGTGAGGCACTGGGTTTGATCTTCAGCACCACATAAATGTAAATAAATAAAATAAATGTATTGTGCCCTTCTACAACTAAAAAAAAATTTTAAAAACTAAGAAAAGATTAAAGAAAAATGTGGTTCATGAGTTCGGTTCCAAAAAAAACATGGGATGTATTTTAATAAATTCTGGCTTTGTTAGAAGTAATATATTTAAACTTAAGCGGCTCAGAAGGCTGAGGCAGAAGGATCTCGAGTTCAAAATCAGCCTCAGCAAAAGCAAGGCATGAAGCAACTCAGTGAGACCCTGTCTCTATAATACAAAATAGGGCTGGAGATATGGCTCAGTGGTCACATGCCCCTGAGTTCAATCCCCAGTACCCAAAAATAAAAATAAAAAAACAATTTTAAAAATAACATAGTGGGCTGTTAACATATGTACTTTTCAATTTTTTTTCTACTATTTTAACAATGCAAGAAAAAACAAACCATTTAAACACTAAGGAAAACAAGGAAGTGGACTGGGGCCCCCTTCCCTTAGGCTCTACATTCCTCCTTCCTCCCTGCCAGGTTCCCTGGAAACCACCCTGGGTCACTATGTTAAGACGACGAGGGTCACAGCCTAAGGGAGGGTCACTGCTGCACAGGGAGCCAGGATGAAACTGTGAAGGAGAGAGAGGGACTGACAGCCAAGGCTGCCCTCAGCTCTCAGGCCCAGGACAGGGTTTGCCCCCCATGCTCCCCACCATCCCCTCACCTGCTGCCAGTCCTTCCAGAAGCTTCTGAGCCATCTCTCTGAGGCTGCTCTGAGGAAAAGGGAACCACAGCTGTCCCTAAAGACATGACCCATGAGGGTCCCCATGCTAGGCATCTCCTCAGGCTGCTCTGGGAAGGAAACCCCAGGCTTCTCTAGAGACATGACCCATGAGGGTCCCCAAGCCAGGCATCTCCCCCAGGTGTCCCTAGAGATGTGACCCATGAGGGTCCCCAAGCTGGGCTTCTCCCTCAGGTTGCTCTGAGGAGAAGGGAGCTCTGAGTATCCCTAGAGATGTGACCCAGGTGGGTCCTCAAGCCAGGCATCTCCCCCAGGCTGCTCTGAGAAGGGAACCCCAGGCTTCATTAGAGAAACAACAGAGGAGGGTCCCTAAGTGAAGCATCTCCCTCAGGTTGCTCTGAGGAGAAGAAAACCCCAGGCTTCACTGGAGACATGACCCACATGGGTCCCCAAGCCTGGCATCTCCCTCAGGCTGCTCTGCAAAGGGAAACCCAAGAATCCCTAGGGACATGACCCACGAGATCCCCGTGCCAGGCTTCTCCCTCAGGCTGTTCTGAGAAGGCAACCACAGGCCTCCCTAGAGACTTGACCAACAAGGGTCCCTATGCCTGGCATCTCCCTCAGGCTGCTCTGAGAAGGGAACCCAGATGTCCTTAGAGACATGACACATGAGTCCCTAAGACAGGTGTCTGCCTGAAGCTGTTCTGAGAAGGGAACCCCAGGACCCGCTAGAGACAGACCAACAAGGGTTGCCATGCCTAACATCTCCTTCAGCCTGCTCTGAGAAGGGAGCCCTGGGATACCTAGAGACGTGACCCATGAGGGTCCCCACACCAAGCGTCTGCCTGAGGCTCCTCTGAGTAGAAAGGAGCCCTGGGCATCCCTGGAGACATGACCCATGAGGGTTCCCACACCAGGCATCTCCCCCAGGCCGCTCTGAGAAGGAAACCCCAGGCATCCCTGGAGACATGACCCATGAGGGTTCCCACACCAGGCATCTCCCCCAGGCCGCTCTGAGAAGGAAACCCCAGGCATCCCTAGAGACATAACCCATGAGGATCCACACACCAGGCATCTCCCCCAGGCCACTCTGAGGAGAAGGAACCCCAAGCCTACTTAGAGATGTGACCCAGAGGGTCCCACACCTGGCATCTTCCTCAGGCTGCTGTAAGAAGGGAACCCCCAGGAGTCCCAAGAGACATGACCCACGAAGGTCCCCACAGCAAGCGTCTCCCTCAGGCCACTCTGAGGAAAAGGGAGCCCCGGGTGTCCCTAGAGATGTGACCCAGGAGGGTCACCACACCAGCTGTCTCCTTCAGGCCGCTCTGAGAAGGGAGCCCCGGGAGTCCCCAGAGACATGACCCACAGGGTCCCCCCGCTGGCATCTCCCCCAGGCCTCTTTGAGGAGAAGGAGCTCTGCCTCTCCCTGTGGGGTGACCCGCCACATCCCGAAGCCTTGGCTCTCCCCTTGGTCCTGAGGAGACAGCTCAATTCCACACCCTGAAGCAAGCAGGACAGACGCCAAAAAATGGCGCCCCTCTGGCCACGCCCAGCGCATGGCGGTGCCCTCCCAGCTTCCTGGTGAATCTCAGCCCTTCCTCCACCCTCAGCTGTGCCTACTGCAGTGACGGGTCTGGCTGTGTTATCTGTGGCACCACGAGGAGTGGAATCTCAGGAGCGGAGAAAAGGGGGTCCGGGCACCCCAGCCCTGCTTCCCCAGGCCAAGTGCTGCTGCAGCCAGGCAGAGGCGCAGACGTGGAGTCCTGGGGACACTTCACTCATGAACCCCAGGGTAGAAGGCCAGAAACAGGGCACTGCAGAGGCCTCTGGGAAGTGTAATCTTAGCCAGGGACTGGCCCCACTTAGGAGCATGGGTTTTAAGAAAGGAAGTGGTCATCATTAAGGGAAAGAGTGCCTGCATCGCAGAAGTAAGCCCCCCCCCCCCAGAGGCCTCTGGGAGTTGCAGGATGCACCCCCACCACCACTTAGGGGATTCTAGATAATTCACCGTGGAGGCCTCTGGGAGCCCCAAGTTGTACGTTCACTCAACATTCCCAGGGATTTGGGGCAATGTAGTCTGGCGTTCTGCCCATAACAGCCCTCACCTCACTAGCCTATGGCAACTACAAGCAGCATGCTCACCGAACTACCTCCAGGATTCTGGGTAGTGGAGTCCAGCACTCTGCAACGCAACCCTCACTGCAGAGGCCCCTGGGAGATGCAGGCCCCAGAGGTTTCTGGGCAGTGAGGTCCCATGTTCTGCCAGGCATCCCTCACCCTAAAGGCCTATGGGAACTGAAAGCCACAGGGTTGCCCTGGTATCCCCACAATTCTAGATAATGTAGTCCAGCATTTCAGTCTCTAAGAATGGTAGTTTTCACATTCACCCACACATCCCCAGAAATTCTGGGTATTGTCAGAATTTCAGTTTTAAGAAAGGAAGTGGTCATCATTAAGGTTCAGTTCTATTCAGGCAGCCCTCACCTCAGAGGCCTCTGGGAACTCTAGGCCACTGATTATGCTGGGTAGTGCAGCCCACCTACCTAAGTAGGAACTCTATGCCACAAGCCCACAGGACACCCCTGAGGATGGGTAGTGCAATTCAAAGCTCTGCTAATGTGGACCTCGATGGGAAGATGTCTAGGTGCTGCAGGCTTCCCAGGGCTTCTGGGTAGTGTAGTCTGGCCTTTTGTCCGCATAGCCCTCACCATGGAGGCCTCTGGGAGTTGCAGGCTGCAGGCTCATCTTGGCACCTCCCTCTGCCAGGATTCTGTGTAGTGTAGTTCAGTTCTCTGCCCTGCAGTCCTAACCAGAGGATCCTGAGAACTGTAGGCCCTGTAGATTATGGGCAATGTAGTCCCAGTGTTTTGCCTGCATACCTCTTTCAGTTGGACTACAGGGCTGCAGACCACATTTTCACTCTGGCACTAAGAGAATTGTAGGTAGTAAAGTCAAGTGCTCTACCTGCCGTGCTCATCCCAGAAAACTCTGGGAGTTACAGGCTGCACATCACCCAGGCATCTCAGGAGATTCTGGGCAGTGTAGTCTGGCCTTTTGCTCTTGCAGCCCTCAGTGTGGAAGCCTCTGGGAACTGCAGTCCCCAAGGAATGTGGGTGGTATATGTCTCTCTGCCCACACAGTCTTCACTGGAGTGCCCTCTGGGAACTGCAGGCTGCGTTGGATCCTGGATAGTGCAGTACCTCCCACAGTTGAGGCTTCTGGCAGTTGCATGCTACATGTTTGCCCAGGTAACTCTGGGAATTTTGGGCAGAGTAGTCTATCATTCTGCTGCTCAACCTTCACCATGAAGTCCTCTGGAAGCCTCAGGTCACATGCTTTCCCTGGTACCCTGAATATTTTGGGTAGTGTAGTTGTTCTGCCTGTGCAGCCCTTGCTGCAGAGGCTCCTGGGAGTTGTGGGCCCCTGAGGATTCTGGGTAGCATTCTCACCAAACAACCCTCACTATGGGGTCCATAGGAGCTATAGGCTGCATGCTGGCCCTGGTCTCCCAAGGATTCTAGACAGCACAGCCTGATGACTGACCATACGGCCATCACCCAGTGGCCCCTGGGATTTGCCAGATGACCCTCCCCACTGTGAACAGATACACCCATTAAATCCCAGCATCATCTGTTTTCCTCTATAAATTTTAGTCACATAATTAAAAGAACTGCTTAATATAGCCATGTTACCAATTGAAAATAATCAAGAATAATTCCTTAAGATCAAGTGCCAAATCAAGATTTCTCAAATTTTTTCAAATAAATTTCCAGACATAAAGGAATTGGGTTTAAACTAGCAGCATCCCAGCATTTAATGTTTCCTAAGTCCTCTTTCTTCAGCTTATCACCTACTGACTGAAAAAAGTAGGTAATTCAGACTGGAATCTCCCAGTCCGCTGGTATGGTCTGGCTGTTCCTAGTGTCTGGGTTAGGGTCAGGGGGTTGCCCATGCCAGGCACCACTCTACACTGAGCTATGACCCTGCCCTAGGCCCTTCTTTTAACATTCACTTTTCCTCTTTCAGTTTCTGCTTTGTTATGTTGAAGCCACAGCTGTCTTTGCAGGATTGGTGTTTAACATTGAACTGGCCCTTCATTAAATAGACTTTATTGCTGGTTTATTTCCTTCCTTAACCTCTATTTCTCTGAAGTTAAAAATATAAACCAACTTCTGGTTAGTGTTCAAATAATTTTATTTATTTTTAAATTATTCTTACATGTAACATGTGCCTTTGTAAGCACATAGCTGTTCTATAACTATCAGTCTGTCTTACACTGCGGTCATATTGACCACTCACACCAGTTAACAGACTCTGTCCTACCCACACAACCCCAAGGTGGGGATGAGGCTTTCGAAGCCACATGGGGGTGACCTTGGACATGACTGTCTACTGTGTTCCCAGAGAAGTCACACCCAACATAAACAAGCCAGCCAGGTGTCCAAGGTAGGAAGGTTGCTGGATGGAGTTTGCCAATGACAATAACCAGACCTTAAGAGGTCACTTCTTTGGTCTTGGGGAATCTTACCTGGTGGTCATGGGTATCGGGCTGGGTTAACTGCGGAGGCACACGTGAGCCTGATGACTGTAACATCTGGGCAGTGGAAGACCTAGATCCACAGACAGTGGAACAGATGTGTCATCAAGGAAACTAGCGTGGAGGAGGCTAGACAAGGAGTCAGAATCCCAACTTCAAAACCCAGGTGTGGTAGGCAGAACAGCCCCCAAAGATATCCAGGTCCTCATTCCTAAAACCTAGGACCACAGCAGTTGACACAACAAGGAGGGTTAAGGCTGCTCATCCCAATGCAGGAAGGTGCTCCCAAGCCACCTGAGCAGGTCCAAGTGACCACAGTACCCTTCAGAGCAAGGGGAGGCAGCCGCTGGAAAAGGGCTAACAACAGAGCAGTCAAAGCCAGCAGGAGACTGCTGGCTTTGCAGAGGTGGGAAGGGAACTGAGCCAAGGAAAGCAGGGGTGCCAAGCAGCTGAGGGCACAGGAGTGGGTTCTCCTCAAGCTTCCAGAAGGGGCCATGCCACCACATGGGACAGTCAGGGAACCACCTGTGGTGTGTCAGCACCTGTGGGCCTGAGCCACATCCTAGGTCTGTGACAGCAGCAGGCAACTAATGCACCATGTGATCACAATTACACCTCAACAGTCATCCCCAGATTAGGAAGGGTACAATTCGGGGATTTTGAGGTCTGCAATTCAACTAAAAAAGTAACCCTGTCTCGTGATGCTTGCAGATCTATTTGATAAACTCTTCCAGGTCTTCATTCAAAACAAAGTCACAGAATCTACTACACCAATATTAAAAACAAGAGCGGTATCTGCTATAGCCAAGATCAGGTACAGCAGAATTAATAACCAGTCACTGAACACACAATGGACTGAGTTCACTACCAGGATGAGAATGGAAAGGCTCGGAGCGGGCCACACTGATGAAGATTCTGCCACACGGGAGGCACACTACCAAGTCCAATCCCATAAGTTGTTAAGCTCTGAAGAAATGACAGGAGGTGAGGTGAAGAGCTGGAGCCAAGAACAGCAGCTTCCCCAAACAGGGTTCAGGCTGAGGGCAGTTAGCCAAGTGAGCCCAGGGTCGCATTGCTGGCCGTGCTCCGGAGCCTCCAACACCACGTGCTTCACAAGGCTGCACAGGGCAGGGGAGACAGGAAAACCCAGGATCACACAGCCTGTTATACGCTCAATGCAGAGAAGAGGCTTCCCCCATGGAGCTCCCACTGTTCCTAAAGTGCTGGTCACAGGACCCACAGAACACATGGCTTAGAAAGTGCTGCTCATTGCTACGTTGAAAACAAGTGAAGGTGGGGGGAAGGGACCTGGATATCGTGCGTTACAGCAAAGAAAACAGAAGACATTGCTGACATGAAAGTCTTTTTAATTTGGTTAATACACATTTGACAAAATATCTTAGAATAAAATAATCCTGAACAGGTACAAGGTATTTACAGTAACATAACTGTGAAATTCAAAACCGATATATTTCTTTAACATTTACAAAAGCTCTTACTATGAATCTGGAAGACTTTCAACTCCTACCCACTACTCTGGTCTTAAACCCAACAGGGGGAGCGAGGCCCAGCAGTACAAGGTACAGAACACTAACACATTTGGCAGTTAAGGATCTGCTGTGGGCTGGGGTGTGGCTCAGTGGCAGAAAGAGCACTGGCCTAGCAAGAGGTCCTGGGTTTCATCACCAGCACCCCAGAAGAGAAGAGGGGGAAAAAAGTTCATCTGAGATCATCCATTAATTTGTTAGTGTGGGCTGACAGGAAAGTGAGGGCAGGACAGCAGATGGAAGACTCAGATGCAGTTGACTGAGGACGAGAAGAGCCCCCCAGGCCTTCCTCACAGCCCCTGTAGAAGGCTGCAGATTACTTCAAAGACTTCCTTGACTTTCCCTGTCAGCAGAAAATCAGCAACCCTGAGACTCAGCTTTCCATGACATAAAAGTTTATGAGCATCTAAAAACTGTTCAAGATTTATAAAATAATTTTACATGATCAAATAGAAAATAACTCTTAGGATTTTAAAATACATCAGGGAAACAAAATTTTTCTTAAGTTTACTTTTCATGCCTATTCTTGAACATTCCACCTAATAATTTTTCGTGGGGTGCTGGGGACTGAACCCAGGGCCTGGCACATGCTAAGCAAGCGCTCTACCACTGAGTTGCTCCCGAGCCCTATACCTAATAACCTCTATTGTCTGAAACTGGGTTTTACACACACACAGACATATTTTAACAGGGGTTCAGAACTTGTTCATTTACTATACAGAATGCCTACTTCTCTGTGTTACTATTTAAATATATTTAAAAGAAATGAGAAGTTTTAACCATCTGAAATATACAGTAGAAATTTGTTGATTTACAAGACAGCCACATAACAGCAGAAAAAAGTACTTAACCTTTCAACACTAGTGAGACAATCACACACGGTACACGCTGCACATTACCATCTACTGGCCCAACCAGGCCACGTAACAAGCTGCAGTCTCCACAGACAGCACTGTACAGCAAGTGTGCTCAAAAATCAAATCTGTGGCTCCTCCAAGGAGGACTCAAGAGCTTCCATCAGCTTTTTATTTGCCTCTTCATTATGCCTGCTTTGACAATGAGTTAGGTGTTTCTTAAAGCCTCTCGGGAAATTGGATTCAAAATTACAACGTGGACATTTAAGTAAACTTTGCCCATGAGCTGCCACATGATTCTTAAGGAGAGATTCCAGAAGAAAGGCCTTTCCACAAATTGTGCACTTGTAAGGACTGTGGACATTGTGCTTATTAACCAAATGATGCAAAACAGCACCTTTCTTCATAGCACGACAGCAACAGATCTTGCAATAATATTTCCCCTTCCCACGCTTCATGTATTTTGCAATCTCCTCTTCTGAGATAAATGCTTCTTTTTCTTCAGTGAACTGTAGCACATTTCTGGATTGCTCTGGACTTGTCATGTCCATTTTGTTCTCTTTGCCAAAATCAATAGATTCCACATCCACCTGCTCTTGATCACTGCTGGACTCCTGGCCCTTCATGTCTATGGCATCCAGGTCTGTTCTGAGGTACTCACTGCTGCTCAGCTCAGCATCTGAGCTCTCCTGGCTATCCTTCTTGAGCTTCTTGGAGGAAGGAAATAGGGCATCTTCCAAGAGTTTCTTGGGAGTGGCCAGAAGCTCTTCCTGAACCAAAAGATCACATTTTTGGTCCTCTGCGGCATCTATCTGTAGCTCATCACCAAGCTCTGCTGCTTTCTGAGCCTCTGAGAACACAGCAGACTTGGGCAGTTCAGGGAACAAGGCATGCTTCCGGGACTCTGGGAAAAGAACACGTTTCCGTGGCTCAGGAGAAGCAGGAGGGGCTGCTCTGGTGGGCTCAGGAAACAGTGCAGACTTTCGAGACTCAGCATCAATAGAAAGGACAGGCTTCCAGATATCCGAAGTCATTCTTGGGGACTCAGATGACCCAGAAGGACCTGGCTTCCGGGTTTCAGGGAAGACAGCAGGTTTCTGAGGTTCCATGACAAAGGAAGACTTCCAGAGATCAGGAGAACCACCACGGGAACTTTTTTGAGACTCAGAAAAATCAAATGAAGCAGGAGAAGTTTTCCGCTGGTCAGAAGAAAGCTTCCAAAGGTCTGGTGACCCTGAGGGTTTCCTGAGCTCTGGAGAGCCTGCTGGGCTACGGATCTCTGGGGAGAGTGGCGGGCCTGGTCTGCGAAGTTCAGGAGACACTGGGGGAACTGCTTTCCAGTGCTCAGGTGACAAGGCAGGGGATGACTTTCGGAGCTCTGGTGGTCCAGACTTCCACGACTCTGGAGATGTAGGGGGAGTTTTCCAGGAGCCAGATGAGACTGAAGACGACTTCCAGGACGCAGGGGACACAGATGGAGCTGGTTTCCAAGGTCCAGGTGATACAGAAGGAATTGGTTTCCAGGGTCCAGGAGACACAGATGGAGCAGGTTTGGTTGGCTTCCAAGGTCCTGAAGATGCCGACGGACTGGATTTCCAAGGCCTCGGGGATCCAGGTGGCCCTGGCTTCCAGGAACCTGGCGACACAGCTGGGGCTGGTCTCCGGGGCTCTGGGGAGACAGCAGGAAATGGCTTCCAAGGTTCAGGAGACTCTGACGGGGATGGCTTCTTTGGCTCTGGAGAGGCAGTCCGGGTGGGCTTCCGAGATTCTGGAGATGCAGTTGGGGACAGCCCCCAAGACTCAGGGGAAGCAGCCAGAACCGGTGACTCAGGAGATGAGGCTGAAGGTGGTCCCCCTGTGTCTGCAAAGTGAGAGTGCTTCTGAGGCTTAGGGTTAGCAAGAGCAGCCTTTACTGGCTCAGGAGACATAGGGACAGGTTTCTGTGGCTCTGGAGAGGGGACAGGGACAGGCTTCTGCAACTCAGACACAACAGGTGCTGATTTTGGAAGCTCAGAAGAAACAGGAACAGGTTTCGAAGGCTCCGGAGGAGGAGTTGTTGCCTGCTCAGGAGGAACAGCAGGGCCGGGTTTCTGAAGCTCCAGTGGAGCAAGAGGATCAGGTTCAGGGGACTCTGGAGACAGAACTGGACCTAGTTTCTGTGTTTCTATGGAGAGGGAAGTCCCAGGTTCCAGGAGTTCTGCTGAACTAGAGGGTGTTTTCTGGTGTTCGGGAAGAGGGGGCATTCTCAAAGGATCTGTCTCTTTGTTCAACTGACTTTTCAGTTTATCATTCCATTTTTCTGGGGCTGCATGTTTGGATGTGATGTGATAGTACACATTGGAGTACATTTTGCTGGTGAAGAAGCATTTATGGCAGTGAAAGAGCTTTGCGCTTTTCTGGTAAAATATCATCTTACCTAAACCCCCAGCATCCATTTCATCACAGAATTCTGGGTGGATGGTGCCCATGTGGATCTGCACATTTTCATAATCGGTGCCTCTGAAACTGCAGTGGTCACACTCCAAACGTACAGATGGTTTCCGAAGTTCCTGGAAAACTTCCATCTTCTTTCTATCACCAACACATTCAACTGCGTTCTTTAAAAACTTTCAACACTGTGCAACAAAGTAAAAATAAATTATTTTTACAGACATTGTTTTAAATAAAATGCTGTCCTAGTTCACTCTATAACTGCATGATTTCAGGTCTAGAAGAGCATATGCTTTATCAGATATATCTCTAAAGATTCTGAGAGATGCATATGGAACTAATTTCTGAGTCCTAGGTACTCTACTGGTTTTCCATACCTTATCAGGACAGGAGACAGACAGGCGCAGGTGGTAGGAACATAATTCTATTGAATGGGCAACTGTGCTGACCCACACATGCTTTCTTTTCTAAGAAGCAATTTTCCTGCAGCACTGACTGGCCTAAGTGGACAGACTATGTCACATTCCTCAGCAAACTACCTGTTATCTGAAGAGAAATGCAGGCCTGAAATAATCTGTCTCATAATTTTAGAATAATATTTATTCACCAAAAACACTAGCTTGCATAAAAATTTAAAACTTAAGGCTATTATCCTTGCAAAGCTCAGTTTTAAATTATGCTTTCTCATTTCTTAATTTTTTAACCATTTACTAAGCTTTTCCTAATTTTTTTTTTTTAAATATTTTGTTTTAGTTGAGACACACTATCTTTATTTTATGTGGTGCTGAGGATCGAACCCAGTGCTCCGCACATGCTAGGTGAGTGCTCTACCGCTGAGCCACAATCCCAGCCCCTTGTTCTTTTTTTTTTTTTGACATTAGTATTGGGGTATTTTGCAGTGCTGGGACCTGGGATGGAAACCAGAGCCTTGCGCATGCTAGGCAAGCTCTACCACTAAGTTGAGCTACACCTCCAACCTGATACATGTCACTTAATTCCATCTGGTTTAAGGAGACAAGAATCTAGCCCCATTTTTTCACCCTGAATCACCTGTCTCAACAACCCTGATCACACAGCTTTTTTTTCCATGTGAGGACCATTTAGTATTTACTAACTTCCATGTATAACTCTACTCTATATTCTTCTGCTCTGCACTGTTTCCCTCTCTACTTCCCTTCATTGCTACTTCAGTTCTGGTATGCCAATCTCAGCATAAGAGCATAAGAGATTCTATAATTACTGTATATTGTTGAGTTTATGCCCCAAGTGGGCTGCAAAATCTTTTCTCATTATCAGCCAGGCACAGTGGCAATGTGCCGGCATCCCAGCTACTCAGGAAACTGAAGCAGGAGGATGCCTGAGCCCAGGAGGTCAAAGTCAGTCAGGGCAACACAGGGAGGGCCTGTCTCTAAAAATTTTTTTTTTAAAGTTTTCCTATCAAATGGCACTTGACCTTTTACCAAAACGACAAGCCACTGCAGACAGCATGTGGGATGTTCTGTGCCAAGGATGATGGGGAAGGCATATTCTTTCTATGGGACTGATCCTCAGAGAGCCAAACAGGTCAGACACTTCAGTCACAGCATCAGAACACAGATGAGAAAGACTGGAAAACATGCCTGATTCTGATACGTTCTGCTTTTTTTTCCCCTCTTTGTTTCTGGTGGCACTGGGGATTGAACCCAGGTGTCTGATAGGAAAGCACTTTACCAACTGAGCTCTACCACCAGCCCATAAATTATGTTTTTAAAGATGCTACTGCTGACTACTGTTTTCAACTAGCTCTATCAGTAGTGTCTCATTTGCTTTTTTTAGTCTTTTTTTTTTTATCTAAAACTAAACAGAAGATAGACATTGCCCAGCAATTATGTCTTTTAGAAAATTACTTTTGGGCCCAACAAGACTATACCAGTAGAAAAATATAGTTATAAGTTCTGAATAAAAATCTCTAAAATGATTAACTTATAAACATGATGAATAAACATGCTTCAGATTAAGATGAGATAAAGATTTGTCTCAATGTCCCCATCTGGCAGTGGCGACAGTGAACAGCCAAGAGCTGCTGGTAGCAAAGCAGCATCATGACACACATCTCATGGGCATCACAGAGCTCAGCTGGTCTCCCTTCCTCTTCCTGTCACCTAAATTCCACCACTCACGCCTGCTGCCATCAAGTCTCATCACTGTACTCAAATAACCTCCTTCTTCAAAAAGTTCTTCAAAGACTGTGAAATAATTCATTCTTTATACCCCAATTCTACAGAGACATGCACATTCAGCATACCTTCATGCAGTAGTGAGACAGTTGTGGAATTTTTCCTCGATAACTCCAGCACTTTTCAAAAATTTTTAATTATAAAATATTCTCCTAAACATTAAAAAATGGTAAGTATTAAAACAAACAAACAAAAAAACAGCACATGCAAAGAAATGCTAGTGAAATAGCGCTTTATAAATCCTGAAAAATGTTTTTAGGGTGGAGAAGAAACAGTATAACAGACTCTTCCCTGCCACCTACCAGCTATCTCCAGGGACACCTAAGTGGCCTTCAAAGGAGAGGTGGTCTACATGGCTTTCTAACACACAGAAAACAGCCTTAGTGGGGCAAAGATGAGAAGCTGAATCTGGGGGCAGGGGGGGACAAAACAAAGGAAAGGTAATCAAAATTACAACTCCGTGATCATTTGGACCACTCTTGGTTCTATGTCCCTCTTGCCATGGGGACTCCTTCAATAGTGAGGGATCCCACCCAGTAAGCCTAGACAAAGCACCAAAGCCTGCAGTAGATACCCACTGTTCTTTTCTCACTGTGCATTACCATCAACTATGTAATTATACCCATATAATTATAACCAGACCCCTCTCAAATTCACTACCTGACTTTAGCTTACACAGTCTTGGGTACAGTGACCCATACTCTTACTTCTCTGTCAGGCACTCACACACCTGCTGGTGCAGCGCGTAAGGAACTGATGTTCTGCTGATCATCAATGTTGTTGACATGCAGCCGTGGAAGAAACAATACAATCAACAGGACCCACAGGAAAAAAGAAAGAGGACTGGCAGGAGGCATGATGGAGGTGTTCTGACGGAGAGGGGGAAGGGATGACCTACCCAGTGACTGCTCTGGCCTATTCTCTCCCTATGTGCATTTCAATGAGAAAGTTTCCTCATCTGCTGAGTTTGCTGACATAGAATACACTGGCCATGAACAGAAAACCACTGCCTATATATCCTGATAAACCCCAGCACTTCCACTTACCCCTTCCTGTCTCCCCTTGGCTCAACACTCTTAATTTTGACACCTGACCATGCTCCCCCATTCATCACTCTGCTTGCTACCATGGACAACTCCAAACCCTACAAGCCTAATGTAACTTGCCTGCTTACAATCCCTATCTGCCAAACACCTGCAGTACAAAATCTCAACACAGCACAGAAAGCTCCCGACCAGACTGCATTTTCAAAAGTACTGACCACATATAACTCCCTGACTCTTCTGAAGCTTCTGGGTCTTTCCATAGACATTTCCTGCCCTTTACATTCTGCCTTGCTACCTACCCATCAGGCAAATCCCTCAAACTGGTTACCTTTTTAGACAATGGCCAATTTCCCATTCCCCAACCATCCTTACATCCAGCTATATGCATACTTCCATGGTAGAAGTCAGCCTGATTCCACACCAGGTCATGGTTTTCAGCACATAGGACTATCCACTTACTTACCTCCAAAACCCTCGTACACCCTTTAAACACTGTGTGCTCAGAAAACATCTGCTCAATCCCAACAACCTTAAGAAGGTTGAGGACCCAATCTTAGACTCAAGGACTTTAAAACCAGAAGTGACCTGAGCACCCATTTCAGGGAGCATCTACTTTAAAATTCCAACTTAGGAGACGAGGAGACTCAAACCTGACATTAAATGGCTTGCCCAAGATTACGACCAGCATCTGACCAAGACAAAACAGACTTCTGTTTCTCCAGACTCTCTTGAGTGCATCATGATCCAATGAACACACTGAAATTCAGTAAGGCCTTGAGAAGCCAGTACAATGGACCAAAACTAACAAAATGAACCTTATCAAACATTTAGAATTCACACACCAACTGCATAAGTCCAGCACTACAGAGAGCCATGTCCCATATTCTGCACTGGGCAGAGCATCCCACACTCCACATACAAAGTCTCTAGCTCTGGGCAGGAGAGACGGCACTCCAAGAGTCCCTAGCAAACTAGTGAACATGCAAAACAGCAATGCAATGGCAGGTGGCACTGGAAAACAAGTCACTTAACTTCACATGCAGAAAAACTATGGATAACACAGAAGCTGTTCTAGAAGCAACAATGGAAGCCAGCAGAACAGATTTTAGCTCCACAGTTTTACAAACTACTCCACCATGAACTGGAACAAGATGCTTTGTCAGTAGGGCCATAATTAGAAGCTAGCAACTGGTACAGGAACAGAGAGTTTTGAGTCCAATCTCTCTGTTTTACAACTGAGAAAACTGATGCTGAGGGAGAGAAGCAGCTTCTCAAAGATTACAACATTAGGTCAGAAGACCATGGATTCTAGAGTCCAGGTCTCTGTTGTAACACAATGCTCTCTCTGTCCCACTCTGGCTGCACCATCCACAGGGGCATTCCAGAAAAGTCCAGAATCTTAAAGTCCAGCTTTAAGATTCCAGAAAGAAAAAAGATAAGAAAAATTCCCCTAAGTTTCTGAGCTTCTGATACTAACTACAAATTGTCAAGATTAATAGAAATTTCTCTCTGCCTACTTTTCACCACTACGGACTGCATCTTTGATGCTCTGCCCACCCACCAGCATGCAGGGCCACACCACATTCTATAGCATTTATTTCCTTGAGGTCTCACACGACGGACTGTCTTTTAAAATATATTCTGATATGTAGCTTTTCACATTAAAATCCAATTACGCAGAGCACGTTTAAATCTAATCGGGTTCTCAGTCTACATACACTTTAGCTCTGTTCTTCATCGCTGGCTGGTTCTTTTAATTAACAAAACTATTTTTCTAACAATTTTATGCTTTGAACAATTTTAGCAGAAGACACAAAGGTTTCCCACAAACCTCTCCTACACCCCCCGTTTCTATTACTACAGCTTGCATTAATTAGCGTGGGGCATTTCCAACAAGAGTCGCCTGGAGAGCGACCCAAACACCGGGCCCACGGGCATCCGCCAGCGTCCCTCGGAAATGTCACCGCCCGCGGGTTCCCGCGCCCGCCGCCGGGCGGAACCGTAAGCTCGTAGCGGGACTGCACTTGCCTCCGGGTCCATCACCCCGCCCCCGCTCGCCCCCGCTCCACGCGTCCCCGGGCGCAGCCTCGCGCGGCCGCCGCTGACCGCACAACAGCGGGGAGGGCGCGCGGCCCACACAGCGACCCGGCCCGCCAGCTCCTCGGCACCCGCTCTCACCCTCGGCGCGGTGGCGCGGAGAGGCCTGCTGCGCGGGATCCCTAATGGCGGCTGGACGCGGGGACCGGAAGTGCCGCGTGCCCGCCCCGGAAGTGCAGTGCGCCTCCCGCCTCCGTCCTCCCAGTGCCGCGGCGAGCGTCAGAAGGTTCCGCTGCGCAGGCGAGTGCCAGCGTCCCTCGAGTTCTCCCGGTGTCTCCTGCTTCCGGCGTCCGCGGGTCTCCGCTGTCATTGCCGTTTGAGCGGGTTTATTTTTAAAGGCGCAGGGCTGGCCGTGCAACAGCGGGGCGCCTGGTGGCTCGAGGTCAAGCCCCGTGGTGTCACCGCCACCGTCCAGGCGCGCGTGCGGCGCCGCTGTCGCCTGGAGGGCCGGCGTGTGCGCCTGCGCGGTCGCGAAGCGTCGCGCTCCCGGGTGGTGCGGCGCTCCCCGGCCTCTGGTCAGCCAGACGCTCCGGGACCGCGCCCACGCGGATAGCGCGTTTGTCCTTGGTGGCCTGCTCTGCGGTCCACAGAGCACCCCGGGGGTCGTCCGCGCTGCCGCCAGTTGCCCGCTGCTCAGCGCCGGCGTCGCCGCGTGCGCACGTGCCCTGCGGTGCCCGCGCTTCTGGGCCGGCCGCTGGGCAGCTCCGCCCCCTGTGCCGCGCCTTTGGGGTGCGCCTCCAGGGCACGTGAAGGCGAGCACCTCGGCAGGCCTGCGGCCACTCTCAGGCCAGAGCCTCAGAAGTAGTCATGCAAACCCGTTTTCCTTTTCCTAATCCAGTCGTCGAGGTTTGGTGGTTGAGTTATAAGAATTCTGGGTATCAAGCCCTTAGAGGTTCAATTCCGCAGGTGTTCCCCACCCCCATTCTGTGAGTTGCCCTACCCTGATAACAGTTGACTTTTGAAGCTTATTTTTTTAAGTTTACTGCATTTATTTATTTATTTTTTTTAACTTCTCAATGGACCTTTATTTTATTTATTGATACTTGGTGCTGAGAATCAAATCCAGTGCCTCAATCATGCTAGGCAAGCGGTCTGCCACTGAGCCACAATCCCAAGCCTGTAATTTTACTTTAAATGCTTACAAAAAGTTTTATTTTTATTTATTTTTTTTTTAATTTTTTTTTTTAGAGAGAGAGAGAGAGAATTTTTTTAATATTTATTTTTTAGTTCTGGGCGGACACAACACCTTCGTTTGTTATGTGGTGCTGAGGATCGAACCCGGGCTGCACGCATGCCAGGCGAGCGCGCTACCGCTTGAGCCACATCCCCAGCCCACAAAAAGTTTTAAATGTCACAGTTTAATATACTGTGAATACATAAAACAATGTAAACACAAAAATGCAATGTATAAAAGTAAAATAAACACTGTTTTAGGACACAAATTTACAATAAAATCTAGGAAATAACATCCTCTAAACAAGTTAATTTTTATGAAGTTCTGTTGCTTTGTTTTTCCTTTACTTGCCTGTGCCTTTGGTATCATATCCAAAAACTCATTGTCAAATCCAGTGTCCTAAACATTTATGCTGTTTTCTTCCAATACTTTCAGGTATTGCGTTCAGGTCTTGATATGCTTTGAATCAGCTTTTGTATGTGACATTAGATAAGGGTCCAACTTCAGTCTATTTTGCATGTGGACATCCAGTTTTCTCAGCACCATTTATTGAAGGGACTATCCTTTCTCCTCTTAAGTGGACTTGGCACCCTTGTGAAAAATTATTTGATCATATATGCAAGGGTTTTCTGAGAGTGGGGAGCTATGTGTTCCATTGGTATGTCTGTTTATATGCCAATACTGTACAGTTTATTACCTTTTTTTTTTTTTTTTGATAATACGTTTTGAAATCAGAATGAGTGTATCCTCAAGCTCTGATCTTTTTTTCTCTAAGTTTGACTATTTGAGTTCCCTTGAGATGCCTTGGGTTTTAGGACACATTTTCTTTTTAGGAAAATGTATTGACTTTCTTGGTTCCTTTATATATGATTGACAGCTTAACAGTATCGTTTTCCAGCCCAATGGGTAGTGCATACCTGTAATCCCAACTACATGGAGGCTGAGGCAGGAGGATTGCAAGTTTGAAATCAGTCTTGGCAATTTACTGAGATCCTGTCTCAAAATAAGAAGGGCTAGAGGGCTGGGGTTGTGGCTCAGTGGTAGAGCACTCACCTAGCACGTGCAAGGCCCTAGGTTGAATCCTAAGCACCACATAAAAATAAATAAGGGCTGGGGATGTGCTCAGAGGTGGAGCGCTTGCCTAGCATGTGTGAGGCACTGGGTTCAAGCCTCAGCACCACGTAAAATAAACATATTGTGTTCACCTATAGCTAAAAAATAAATATTAAAAAAATAAATAAATAAAACAAAGGTATACTAAAAAGTAAATATTAAAAAAGAAGAAGGGCTGGAGGTGTAGTTCAGTGGTAAAGTACTCCTTGGATCAGTCCTGGATAGTGAAAAAAGAAAAATTGTCTTCCAATTCATGTACATGAGATGTGTTTCTCTTTATTTATGTTATCTTTAATTTCTCTCAGTGATGTTTTCAATTGCTATGTAGTTTTCAATGTTTAAGTCCTTCACATCTTTGGTTAACTTACTTTCTACATACTTTTATGTTGTAGTTATGGAATTGGTGTTGTAATTTGCTTTTCAGATTTCTCATTAAGAAATGCAACCAGTTTTTATGTAACTTTGTCTCCCTATACTTTGCTAAATGAATTTGTTGGTTCTAACAGGGTTTTATGATAATTTGGGGGTTATCTATATATATAAAATCATATAGCCTGGACTTGGGCATCCCTGTAACCCCAGCTACTTGGGCTGTTGAAGATCATGGGTTTGAGACCAGCCTAGGCAACATAGCAAGCCCTTGTTCTAAAAAAAAAAATCATATAAAATCTATATAAGCAAAGATAATTTTACTTCTTTTTATTTTTCTTGCCTAATTGCTCAAGCTAGAGTTTTCACTACTACTTTAATAGAATTGTGAAGGTGGGAATGCTTGCATGGTTTCTTAAAGTTTTCAGTCTTTCACCATGAGTATGATACTCACTGTGGCTTTTCATACCTGTTTTTTTATTGTGTTGAGGTAGTTTCCCTCTATTGATTGTTGAATGTGTTCATCATAAAAGGGTGTTTTATTATGTGATTTTCTGCATTGATTGAGATGATCAACTGTTTCATTTCCTTTGGTCTGCTAATGTCATGTATTACATTGATCAGTTTTTGTATAAACCATCCTTGCATTCCAGGAATAAATACTGCTTTGTCATGGTGCATAATTCTTTTAATGTGTTGCTGAATTGGATTTGCTAGTATTTTGTTGAGAATTTCTGCATCAGTATTCATTCCTGATGATGTTGGATATTGGTCTATAATTTTCTTGTGTTGTGATTTCTGGCTTTGGTATCAGAATAAGGCTGGCCTCATAAAATGAGTTAGGATGTATTTCTCATCTTCAGTTTGTTTTGAAATTGAGAACAACATGATCTTCCTTTTCAGCTTTTCTTTAATGTTTCGTAGAATCACCAGTGAAGATGTAAGGTCCAGGACTTTTCTTTGTTTAGAGAATTTGATTCAATCTGC